GTACAGGGGGAATGTCACACACCGGTACAGGGGACATGTCACACACCGGTACAGGGGGAATGTCACACACCTGTACAGGGGGAATGTCACACACCTGTACAAGGGGACACGTCACACACCCGAACAGCCCTGGGTGTGGTGTCACTGCCCTGGGGGATGTCACACACCTATACGGCCCTGGGTGTGCACCAGGGCACGTCACACACCTGTACACTGGGGCACATCACACACCTGTACAACAGGGCATGTCACACACCTGTATGGCCCTGAGTGTGGTGTCACTGTCCTGGGGGATGTCACACACCTGAACAGCCCCGGGTGTGTCACGGCACTGGTCCATGTCACACACCTGTCCCTGCATCACCATTGGTTTTTCAAGCAGCAGCTGTTGCTCCCTCACAACCCTCACCTGCCCACACACCTCTGGGCTGAGGGATTTTGGCAGGGCTGGAAGTGGGGTGGGAGACCAGCCAGCACCCCATCACCGAGCAGGGATTAGGATTCCCTCCCCTCCATCCCTGGGCCAGTCTGTGCCATGAGCAGATGACTCTGGAGCTCAGCCAGCTCACACAGTTTTCTGACCAACAGATACGGATTCAGTGTGCTAGAGAGGGCTCTGCAAGTGAGGGGACTAGATGAGATGTGCCAAAACTTCTTCCCTGAGCCACTTACAGCCTCACTGTGATTATTCAAGTTCAAAAGTTACAAGTAATAATCACATTTTGTCAAACAAATTCAGGTCACTCAGGGTAAGCTGCTCAAAACTGGAAAACACAACTGCTGAGGTGATCTGGAAACATGGGGGAAACAACCAGGCTTTGCTGAGGGAGCTAAGTCTGGGCTTACTTGTCCTTGATAGTGCTTAACAAGAAATAACTGTTTTGTAGGAGTGCTATTCTTGGCTCTGGGTCAACTGTGTGGATGATGTCATCATTCCAAATAATTGGAATATTTTTGTTGTTAGCTGATAGACTGTGAGAGCTGCAAAGCCCCAAACAAGTGGAGTCTGTCTGAGAGCTCAATGGTTCAGTCATTATCTACATTCAACCAACATAAGGGTCAGACATGCCCTGAACTTCGGGAGGAAATCCTCCTCCCCCTGACTTATGTCGGTGCAGAGGGCACCAGAACTGAGGAAGTCTTTCACTCAATCCAAGGGGCTGGAATGATGCTGGGCACCATCTGGCCTTCACATCCATGCAAGCTCCTTCCCAGGGCACAACAGAGTTGATCCCTTTGTGATAACGGAACAAAACTTTCATGAAGGTCTTGGTTGGGGCTCTCCAAATAATCTAGGATAGGGCTCTCCTCATGGCCCTGTGATTCCTCAAAGCTCTTGCTCAGATCCAGAGTTGCTGTTCTCCTCATCACTTTGGTTTTGTCCCTCTTTTTTCAGGCTCACTTCTGAAGTCTCCAAAGTGTCAGACACATAATCCTTTTGAATTCTTTGCTTCTCTCTTTGCAGCCTTCTAAGCTCTTCAATAAAATCTGTAATTTGAATCTCAGATCATTCAGTGGCAGGCTGCTCTCCACCCTTGGGAAACGAATAAATTCATGTGTGACTGGCAGAAAGCAGCTCCTGTCCCTGTCGTGCAGGTGTTCCCTGAGCTCACCTGTGCAGAGCTGGGCCATTTCACACATCCCTGCACACCCTGTCACCAGTGCCAAGGGATGCTCAGGCTCCAGCTGCTCAGGATGGCACCTGACAGTTTCCAACTGTTCAGGACCAGCAGGAATAACAATTGCCATTCATAAATCACCAGGGCCATCATTAATGGTGACTTGATCCATAACTTGGGATTAATCAAAGCAAGACAGAGTGAAATCATTCACCCTTTTCCTTCACAGCCATATGGGCCATTAACAATACAAATGTGGAGTGTACAGGGGATAAGAGATGAAGGAGGGGACCCCCACAGGCTGTGAACTCCCTCCTGACACCACGTACAGCACAAGTTACAGAAAAATTTATTGAGCATCTGCTTAATATCAACTAATTATTCCTGTTTAGTTTAGCAAATATAGGGGAAGGCTCCTATACAGCACCATAAGGCAACAGAAGTCTGCTAATAGTTCTGAGTTATATATATGTAAAAAGAGAAAAAGATGAGTATTCCTTTCTGTCTTCATTTCATTGTTTCCTAGTAGAGACTGGGAAGGCAGCTGGAGCAAACCTCAGCCATGCTCAGGACATGGCATTAGAGAAATGATGATGCCTCTGTTGCAAATAATGTATAAATGTTGGGCTTTGCTCTGGGCTAATGCAGCACAACCAATTTCAGTGAAGCCACCCCCACGTTAAGGCAGAAGTATGAGCCAAATACAGCAAAATAATCCTCTCCCTGGTGCCTGCAGTGACTAAGCTTATGTGGGTACTGTATGTACATCTGATTGAATTATATGCACCATAAGTATAAGAGGTTGATACAGTGGGCACCCAACAGAGAAGAGAAAACCTCAGTTGCCCTCTCCAGGCATGGCCCTGCTGTTGATGGCACGAGAAAAGGGATTTGTCACCCTGAGAGTCAGCTGTGAGGAGCTGGGTTTCCTGCACCTCTGCAGCAGCTCCTGCCCCACCCTCTCATGCTTTCCCTCCTGTCTGTAACAGAGCAGGTGTGATGACAGAGCCCCAGCTCATCATTCATCTCCAGCTCAGACATCAAATTACTGCCACCTACAAGAACTACATTTGCAACTCTCTCACATGTGCTGTGGCTCTGAGGAATGGGCCTTTTATCTCAGGAAGCAGGATGCAGATCTGAGCAGCACTGCTGTCTCCTGGAGGAGATAATGTGTCCCTGCTCAGAGCCCCTCCTTCTATCACACAGCACCACTTGGCAGGGGCTGCCTGGTTTGTGTGATAGCAGGCACTGAATTACTTCAGAAAAAGAGAGCCTTAATTCTTTATATAAAAACAAATGACTAATTAAAGTGGGTTTGATTTTGTAGTTCATATTTTCTTGGGATGGTGCCAGACTCTGGAGTCCATGGTCCACACCCTGTCCTTCTGGAGGAATTTGGCTGGGGAAAGCACTGTAAGATTTGTTCCCTTTCCTCTCCCTTACTCTTAAAATCCCTCCTCCCCCTTCTCCCTTCCTGCAACTGGTAAATTGTGAAGAACAGGAATGTTCCTGGGAAGGAACCCAGGCAGAGCTGCATTCAGAACAAGGCAAAGATTTCTTGCATAGCTGGAGCATGTGTTTGCAATCCCCGACTGCCGGAGCACGTCAGCCCTGCCAGGGAGTGCTGCTCCCTTCAGATGTTCTCAGAGAGCTCCAGGCAGTGTCCAGGGCAGTCTGTGGACAATGCTTAGCTCAGGCACTGCTCCTGGGCCCATCTGCTAATGGTGCTAGGGGAAAAAAGGCTCTGGGTGAAAGGATGGCAAAGAGCCAACCCTTCCTTTCCAAGGAGCCGTGTCAGGGATGGTCAGAACCATCGAGCCACAAACTGGTTCCATGTGAGAGCTTGGCTGCTACTACCAACCTGTCAGCTCAGGCTCCAGGCAGCTTCTGGGACTGATGCTCTCCAGAACAATTAGCATGTACTGCCCCAACAAAGGATTGCTCAACAGAGAAGGACAAAACCACAAGATCCCAAATTGTAACTGCTGGGAAGCAGGAGACAGTCAATAACTACAGACTGCTCTCCCCTCAGCCTGAGAGGTGCCACTGATCCAGAGGGAATGTAACTCTGCCAAAAAAGTGCCCTTTAATGGCTCAAAACTGGAACCTGACAAGGCCAAGAACGATGGGAGCTGGGGGCTGAGACACCGGTGGAGAAACAGCTTCAAAGTATCTGTGAGGAAGCTTTTGACCCTGGCACTACACAGAGCACAGTACCCTACAGGAGCACAGAGTCAGCCCTTGCTCAAGCTGGTGCTGATACTACTGGGGAAAGGCAGGTTGATGAAAGCATCACTTGTCTTTCCAATGACCCTATCATGTGAGCTCAGCCTGCCAGGAGCTCTCTCTCTCTCTCTCTCTCTCTCTCTCTCTCTCTCTGTGCTCCTCGTGGTCCGAGCCAACGAGCCTGAACATGCTGTGCCAGTATCTGATATCGCAGGGGGGTTGGACAAACATCCCCTCACGGGCTCTGGGGGTGCACACACACCCCTTCAGAGCAGGATGATGACACCTCTGTGCTTTGCTCTGCCTCCAGGCTGTCTCCAGCTTGTCTAAATCCAAACATGTCCAATCTGATTTTGCAATTTTTAAAATATAAGGTGCCTGAGGGAAGGCCCTGAGCTTGAGGGAGGAACAGAAGAATCTTCCAAAGCAAGATCCTTGACCTCAGCAGCTGTGGGGCTGTGCTGGCTCCTCCTCATCCTTGCCAAGAGGGTTCCCACTTCTTTACTGGCGCGTGGCAACAATAATGAGCAAGGAACACGTGGGGGCAGCAGAAGGCTTTGCTGCCTGGTCTGGCAGTCTGTGGTTGTAGCGTCCTCACAGGACCCCTGCAGAACTGAGGGGCTTCAATGTTTGAGGGTCACTGTGGTGGGCACAAGCCTAGAGTGACAACTACAGCTGATCAAACCCTGGGAGAAACATGTCATAGGAGAGAGGGGCTTTGTGGCCTCCTGGGACAGGATGTCAGCACTGAAACCTGTGCTTTTGTCACTGCATCTGGTCCTTCTCCAGTTCCTGCAGGCCCAGCCCAAGCACTGCTGTGCTCGAGTTACAAAGCACGTTGAACCAGCAGTTACAGCTTTGTCCACAATGGAAAAAATGGCTGGAGGGAAAGCACAGAGTCAGATCCCACTGCACCTCACAAGATCCCTCAATCCCCCTCA